TTCCTCGTTTAGAGTTATGCGCCGCTGTACTATTAGCGAGATTAGCAAGCAGAGTCATTCCAAAAATGCAATTAGGCACCACCAAAAATTATTTTTGGTCCGATTCAAACATAGTGTTAGCTTGGATATCGTCTCAGTCGACAAAGTGGCGTRCGTTTGTTGCCCATCGCGTAGGAGAAATACAGGAAAAAACGTCGGTATCTGATTGGGCTCACGTTGATACGAAAGACAATCCAGCGGACATAATTTCCAGAGGCTGTTGTCCGACAAAATTAATCAATATGCCGTTGTGGTGGCACGGCCCCGATTGGTTAGTAAAAGATGAAAAGGACTGGCCTAAATCTATTAAAAACGAAAATATTCTAAATTTAGAAATACCGGAGGCTCGGTCAGTGACCTTAACTACCTGCAATGTAATACCGCAATATCTGTCATTAATAAACAGGTACTCATGTATAAATAAATTATTACGTGTCGTAGCATACTGTTTACGTTTTTGCTACAACAGTTCACATAAAAATTCAAAGCTCGACGGCGTACTCGGTGTGGAAGAAGTAAATAGAGCMCGGACAACAATAATTAAGTGTATACAAAAGGAAGCATTTTCGCAAGAGAWTAAAGAGCTGATCAATTCGAATAAGATAGCCGTATCAAGTAAGTTATTCCGACTATGTCCGTTTTTAGACAAAGATAACGTTATACGGGTAGGAGGAAGATTAAAAAATGCCGCTACGTTAGACAACTATCAGCACCATCCAATTGTGTTGCCGGMGGATTGTCACTTTACACGGTTATTATTTAAGTATGAGCATGAACGATGCATGCACGGTGGTCCACAGGCGACATTATGTTCGMTACGATCGAAGTACTGGCCTTTAAACGGACGAAATATAGCCCGAAGTATAATACATAAATGTATAACATGCTTTCGTTATAAACCAGTAGTCGTACAACCGATTATGGGTAATTTACCCGCGGAACGAGTAGAACCGACGCGCGCGTTTTTAAATTGTGGAATTGATTATGCGGGTCCGTTTATGATTAAGACAGCTATGCGCCGCAATGCTCCATTAGTAAAAGGTTATGTGTGTATTTTTGTTTGTTTTTCAACAAAAGCAGTATACATCGAATTAGTCGGCGATCTGAGTACACCATCGTTTATTAACGCATTAAATCGTTTTTTTGATCGACGAGGAAGAAGTATAACTATTTATAGCGACAACGCGACAAATTTTATCAGAGCAAATCGCAAAATGAAAGAGTGGAAGGATCTATTTAATTCAGAACAACATAAAAAAAGGTACAAGAAGCTTTAACAGACGTTGGTGTTCAATGCGCTTTATTCCCCCGCGTTCGCCGCACTTTGGGGGACTATGGGAAGCAGCCGTAAAGTCCATGAAGCATTTATTACAAAAAACTGTGGGTGACGCTCACCTGCATTTCGAAGAGCTTAGTACTGTGCTTACGCGCGCTGAAGCTTGCCTAAATTCTCGACCTATTACTCCAATGTCATCCGACCCAAATGACACGTCCTTTTTGACCCCAGGTCATTTCCTTATAGGCGACTCACTCTTATCTATACCTGAACCCGACTTGTCAAATATGCCGACAAGTAGTTTGACGCGATGGCGTAGAGTAACGCAATACTCMCAAATTATTTGGAAAAAATGGAGCCGTGAGTACTTAAATCARCTCCAAGAGAGAAAGAGGTGGTCTGGTGACAAGGGGCCTAAGCTGGACGTGGGTACCGTAGTATTGATACGGGAGGATAATATCCCTCCGTTAAGATGGCGTTTAGGGCGAGTGACCAAAACTACTGCTGGCGGTRACGGGGTGGTGCGAGTCGCTGAAATACGTACATCGACGGGACATTYTACACGGGCAGTCCGAACATTGTGTCCTCTGCCATTTAAGGGAAATAATTCAGATTAAAATTTTGATAAATTTCTTTAGTAAGCTTAAAATGTTATTTTTTATTTTATTGTTAAATTCAGCGCATAGATCAATTATAATGATGTGTGTTCGAATTGTAAAATTGAAATATTTGTTTATTTTGTGTTTTTTTTTTTGATTATATAAATATTTGTAAACGTAAGTATACTTGACTTATATTCCATTGTTAAAATCAAGTTAACTCAAAAATTATGTATTATTTCGTATTCTATTTATTGCTACGTTGAAATCAATGTTTCAAGGCGGGCGGCATGTTGCGTACYGAGCAGTGTGCCGATTTCCCATATTATTATTATTATTATTGTCATTATTATTATTATCGATATTGTCGTTATCCGGAAATCGGCACACCGTCAAATTGCGATTATTACAGACCAGTCGAGTCCGACCTACCGTCGACGTTTCTAACGAAATACAAAGGTATAACACCAACGTGTCGTCCGTACAATATAAATCATAATATTTAATTTGTACAATAAATTAATACAGTYCACTCAATAATAGAAATATTAAGTACGGTGTTATTATTATTAAACAAACGGATTCACACTTCAACAGTATTGAAAACTATATTATGTAGTTATAATATTATAAATATTACCTATATATTATGTACTATATAATTTAATTATATTAAAATTGTGTCATTATTATTAGTACAATGTAAAGAGTAATTTGAATATTGTATATTATTATTTTTTGTATACAATATTATATTGTAATCTAAAAATCAGTAATAGTTCTGTACTATATTGTTTATATTCCCACACAGCAAAATTATATTTTTAAATAATTTTTAAAATATTATTTAGGAAATATATTATGTTTTCAAAATGTTGTTAAATGATCATAATATTTTTTTTAAATGTTTTGGAAATATTTTTTGTCGCCTAATTTGCATCATTAAAATATAACTGGGATATTTTGAAAATATCATATTTATATTAGGTCCATGTCACTGGCACCGCCCATTTTGAGTTTCGGGTCAAAACCCGGGGCTTTCGTTTGTGCTCCGTTTGTGCTGGTTTGTGCAGCAAATCCCTTCGTTTGTGCTCAATCCCTTCCAGAGTTATTCGTGATTTACCCTGGGCGGTGCTGGAGACATGCTGGCACCGCCCAAATGAAATTTTGAACTCAAACCCGGGGCTTTCGTTTGTGCTCCGTTTGTGCTGGTTTGTGCAGCAAATCCCTTCGTTTGTGCTCAATCCCTTCCAGAGTTATTCGCGATTTACTCATGGGCGGTGCCGGGGACATGCTAATTGCAACATTGAATATCGAATCCGGACCAAAGCCGTTTGTTTGTGCTCCGTTTGTGAAGCAAATCCCTTCGTTTGTGCACAATCCCTTCCAGAGTTATTCGCGATTCGAGTGGTCTAGGAGTAGTGTAAATAGAAGTGCCCTTTTAGATATTAAGTAGGTAATTTATAGATATCAGTTTTATTTAAATTATTGCTGATTCTATGTCACTTTTCACATAAACTCTTTTATACCACAAGTAATAAGTTTAAATGTTTAACTTTTTGTTCATATCAATAAATTCAAAATAACATAAGCAGGCAGAATACAAAGTGTATTAAACTATCAAATGCACCATCCACAATTTAGCTGTTATTTATTATTTATATGGTATATTATTAATTTTTATAATCCGTAGGTCGATGATATTACTATATTTTAGTATACCTACATTGGGTATTGAAATTTTGCTATTGTCATTGTACAATAAAATATTCTCGTCTCACGTATTACGTACCTATACATGTTGATAATCACTTTTTTGTTGGTAATGATGTACAGTATCTTCATTTTCTAATTTGTTGGAAAACGGGAAAGTCTTTTTTTGCCTAAACCCGCCGTACAATTATATTTATTACACTAATAGTGTAACGTGCTGTAATGTGGTCGGAAGAAMGACCAGTTAAATATAAAATATCTAGGAAGAGTTGTAGTACTAAATAGATATAATTACCGTAGTCAGAAGTAGATGTATAGTTATCAGAATCTTAAATGTATTTAAATAACTAGGATTCAATATCAGTTATTAATAATATTTTTATTGTATACTGCACTTACAAATAATTATACTCTAAACTTGTAAATTGCATTCTATACCTATATAATATGACTGCATCGTCATCATATGGAGTCCGGTGGTAGTATAGTGTATTGAGGTCTAAGGTGCACATTGAACTAATTTACTTATACATGGTGTAAGTAAGGCCAATGGCCTTACAAATTATGAGTGTGTGTTAATATTAATGTATCTGTCAGCAGTTAATACTACGTAAAAAGTAGAGTTTGAATTATATCCATAGGTAACATGTAACATATTTATAATTATAATTATTACAGTGCCTAAATATGTATATATAGCAGTAGGTGTATATTTATTTATTTGTTAACATTTTTGTATCATATAATTCATATAAACCAAGGTAGAAGTGTTTYAAATAGATTTTACATTACTTATATACAGTGTTGGGATTAGATAAATACTTTTTTATCTAGATAAAGATAACAGGACAAAAATGTATCTAGATAAAGATAAAAGATAACACAATTCAAATTTATCTAGATAAAGATGAAAGATAAATACATTATTATCTATATAAAAAAAAAGATAAATTTTTTAACACATTGAAATCCAAAACATTTTAAGAGTATTTGACGTCCAACGCAAACACCCGATCCTTTATCATATTATTATATAAGTATCGCAGGTACATTGAGCGCGGTGTACGACAAGACAACTTATCCCGCGTGCCACAGTCTCCGCCGATCCAACACCGCACCACCTGTGCGGCGGTCGCACGCACGCTCCCTCCTTGTACCCATGATCTAGGTCCGAACTACAAAGGTTAGTTCACACAGGCGATCACCATACCTTGTCACCCACAGTAT